AAGTGTGGGAAAATTAAATTTCTGCAAGGAAGGGAAAAGAAAAAATAAACACAAAATTATATTTTTAGAAGCTACTTTCTGAAAATAAAGGATAAGCACTGGGTCTAGAAAATTACTTCTCAGACATGATTACACATGTAAAGGTTAATTGAAGAAAGAGGAACTTGGCTGCAAAGCAGCGGAGCCTGCAGACAGCAGCTGATAAATGGTGAACAATTAGCTCATGTCTCACTGGTATTTGCAAACATGCCAACTGATGGTCACAGCAAATCTCAGACTGGCTCTATAAGAAGCACAAGTAATATTAAATGCCCTCTGGGCTACATTAGAAAAATTCTTCAAGAAAAAAGTAGCTTTTAAGAAGTATGTCTACTCTCTCTCTTCTCAGTACCCAAATTTCACCTACAAGGCAATGAGCACAAAAGGCTTTTTCACTGAGGGCTCCTGGTGGTAAATGTCAGCCAACAGACAACAGCTAAGAAAGTGGCCTTCAAGCAGCACGTTTATAATCAATTAATACATTTGCAAAATTCCTCTTGCTACCCCCTCCTTCTGCTGTCCCACTGCTCCGAGGGAAACGGTGTAAACTCCCTGCAAGAAAATGGGCCCCGTTCAAAACGCGTCCTGTTCTGGCTTCCTAAGGCAAACATTCCACAGCTCCTGCCTTGGTGAAATCCCAAACTGATCCTCCTCCAACACTCTGAACTCAAGTTTCTCGTTTCTAGAATGTGGACAGTTGTTTCATGTGGCTAAAATTTTTGCTAAGTAAGTGTATGAGTGTGGATCAGCAACAGAGAGGACTGTGGAATGTAAGTGGCCTTCTCCCGCATCTGAGCAGTGGGGTCACCTTGCCCATTTGGCTGTGCCAGTCCAAGCATGGTACAAAAACTGACCTAACATCTTGAAAATGTCTCAGGCTCCGTATCACTTCAACAATCCTAGGAGGCCAAGACTGGGGCAGGGGCAGATGTCCCTTAAATAAAAAACTGATCAGTCTTTCT